AAATTATTTAACCTCTCTGAGCTTGTCTCCTTTAATCTTTAAAAAGAGAATAACCATTTATACCTTATAGGATTCCCAAGAGGATTAAGAGAAATAACTAAATATATGTGAAAATACTTCCTGCAGTGCCTGACACTTGGTTGGCAACTGAAAGCTTTTCTTCTTTCTTTCATGTATATCTAGGGGGTTGGCAAGGGAAAAGGTTGAGTTGAATTACACTAACCTCTAAAATCTGAAGGGAACATTTTCAAAACAAATTCAGCAAATTTTTTCTACGTGCCCATGTGCAAGACAAAGACTATGTCATGAACTTCTGGGGCCCTTGGTGAGTACTCAGGCGGGTGACAGAGACAAGGGGATATGTACAGAAATAACACGTCAGAGAGGGACAAACCAGTTGCTGGGAGCAGGGCAAACTTAGTAGGGTAATAGGATACTTGGTAGAGAAACAAGTGAGACAGATGGTTCCTGTGGCTTTCCAGCACTCAGGTTCTCACTTCCAACCATAAGTCTACTTAGCTGTGAATGAATAGGCATTTTCTTATCAGAGAACTGGTTAACCAATTAATACATTCCCAAACAGTAGTTCTCTACTCATTGTCAAAGATAGGGGGAAAAAAATTAACTACTTTGAGTCCTTACAATGTGCCTGGTGGTGTTCTAAGCGCTATGCAAACATGAACTAATCAAATATAAAGATCCTATAAGATGAAGACTAGTAATGAAGGATTATTATTGTTCCCATTTTATGAAGAGAAAATTGAAATGCTCAATTAACAAGTATTAGATCTGGGTTTAGACCACAAGTCTGCTAACTCCAAAGTCTATGTCTTTATATTTAGATTTTCTTCCCTAGAAAAAGGAAATTACAGGCAGAAAGACTTGACATAGAACACCAGGGTGGATGATCAAAGTATATTCTAAGAGAACTCGGCAATGGTTTCATGTTCTAGCTACTGTTGGGTATAGATTAATAGGTAAAAGAGTCTAATTCTTGCTACTATATAAACAAAGTCAACAGTGAGAAGGAAGATAGGCTTGTAAGAGAATGCTAGAGCTCTAGGTCCTCTCACTGAAATGCCAAACTGATCCTGCATACACACGAACTGATCCTGCATCCGTTCCTAATATGCCCCTGAACCCTAGCCCTTCCAGGTTGCAGGTAATTCCTGTGGTCAATGCCTTCTTCTCCATTCCTATCACTAACACTTCACCTCAGGGCCCACTGTATCACCCCCAGATTGGTGCCTTCCTTACTCTTGTCCAATCTATCATGCCCACCAATGCCAAATTGATACACACAAAATACACACATCATCATGTTCTCTGCCTCTAAACCTATGGTCTCTACTGTAGTCTGAAAAATTCCACAAATCTAGCATTAAACCCTCCACAGTCTGGCTTTACCTACCCTCTCAGCTTTATCTTTCACTTCCTGTAACTGCCCCATTTCTCCATTCTTGCCTCTATCACCCATATCAATTCACCATCCCTTGTGAGAACCTTGAAACTTGCCCAGCTATGCTTCCTACTTCCAGTTTCTTCCCTACCAGGGTATCATACTGCACCCTCACCCCCACCACTTTTAATCTACCCAAGACTTCTCAAATTTTACCTCCTAGAAGTATCTCCTGACCAAATCTGGTAGCCACCCTGGACACCTTGCTGTTGTTCAAACATGCCAAGTACATTCCGGGCTCAGGGCCTTTGCTCGTTCCCTTCTATTCCCGACACCTTAAATGTTCTTCCCTCAGATACCCAAATGGCTTACTCCCTTCCTTCATTTCTCTGCTTCGATGTCATTAATCAGGGAGGCTACCCTTCCCTGACCTCCAACTGTTCCTATGACTTTATCCTACTTTATTTCTCTTCAGAGCATTTATCCCTGATGTTTGATACTCATATTTACATACTGTCTATCACTTCCATCAGAATACACACTCTGAGGGGTACGTTGATGGCTTAGTTGGTTGAGTGTCCCACTTCGGCTCAGGTTGTGATCTCACAGTTCCATTAGTGATTTAGACCCCCACATTGGGCTTGCTGCTGTCAGCCGGTCAGTGCAGAGCCCACATCAGATCCTCTGTCCACCTCTCTCTCTGCCCCTCCACCACTTGTGCTCTCCCCAAAATAAATAAATACTAAAAAAAAAAAAAAAAAAAAAAAAAAAAAAAAAAACACATACACATACTCTGTTAGGGAAGGGATTTGGTCTGTTTTGTTTCCTGTTGTTTCCCCCAGGGCCTAGAAGTGCCTGGCATGTAATATGAACTCAATATATATTTGTGGAATGGATGCATGAATAGAGTTCTCCAACATCTTTTAAATTCCATAATGTTATCACACACAGGCCTTCTAAAAATTTGTCCTGATTTGCCCATTTTTTTCTTAATTACTCTCAACTGACAGTGAATTTCTCAAAGGCACAAACCACATATTATTCATTTCTACAAATATTTATTAAGGACTTATTATGTGCTATGTCTCAAGTAGCCTGGAAAATTGGAAAGAGCACTGGAGGAGAAATCCTAGTTTAGTCCTGACTCTACCATTAGTTGAGTGACCCTAGACAAATCCATTTTTCTCCCTGGGCCTCAGTTTCTTCATACATGAAACAAGGAGAGTAACATTATCAAGTCTCTCCTGGCTCTAGCATCTGTTAAAATTTATAAGAGGTAAAACTTGGCCCAGCCCAGTGCCTTAGACATCACAGTACTCAGTAAATATTTGGTTTCTTTGTTGTTGATTCTCCCGTTACACAGGAATCTGAGTTGTCTTGGAACAGTTCGGACAGAACAAGGAAAAGTTTAAGCCCCACTTCCTTCTGACTCCACAGGATAATCTCATTCTAATGTTTGTGATAATAAAGAATTCTGATGTTTGTGAGAGGATAAAGCACTGAATGTGAAGTTGGAAAATATGAATTCTCATCACCGCCATTTACTTGGCCGTACAACCTTGAACAAGTCATTTCTGAGCCTTAGTCTCCCCATCCATAAAAAAAGGCATATTGGCCTACTCACAGCTCTTCATAGGCACCTTTTAATGCTGCTCCATCTACCTGGAATGTTCTTTGCCCTTTCTTTGCTGGACTTACTCTCTACTTATTCTCAAGGATCAGCATAAACTTGCTTTTTAAAGGAAAAGTGTCTTCTTGCCACTCTCCTCACCCCTGGTGTACTCTTACAGCACTTACTTCCACTGTTTATCTCAAATTATTATAGCATTTATTTCTATTATTACCTCAATTATTTACTATCCGTCTCTAAGGCTGTATCCACCACAAAGGCAAGGACTGTATCCATTTTGTTCATCATTATACTACTCAGTGCTTGCATAAGCACAAAAGTATCCCACAGATATTCTTATGGACAAATGTCTAAACTAATACACCTAGACACTTTAATGCCTCTACAAAGCTTTTTGGTTCACTCAGAGAAATCTAATAAACACTTATTGCACTCTAAGATCTTTTACAAGTTTCTGAGAATCAAGGTTCGAGACAGGTAACTGACATACATGGAGGTTAGAAAAAAAGTCACTGGAAATCATTTGAACTGAAAAACTCTGGAAGCTTAAAAAAAAAAAAAATCAGAGAGAAAGGGACAGGGAACATTTTTACTCCTAGTCTTCTCCAGAAGCCTATTATCCAGAATGAAGAGAAAAATCCCAAGCTTCCATGGTAAGGAAATGACCCACTGGTGGCCTGGTCCTTGTATTCAGGATGGAGGAAGTGACTGTCCACAGGCTGAAAGCCAGGAAATGGGGGCAGATATCCAAGACAGCCTCCCTCCTCCACCATTCCCTTCTGTCACCTCTAGAAAGCTTCTGGATGCTGACCCTGGTCGACCTAGAGGTTGGGCCTCCCACACAGGTGGCTGGGAAACAGAGGCAACAGAAAGGGGGACAGGCCAGGAGGGCAGGAAGCTGCAGGGTAGTGTGTGAGGTGACCGAGAGGGGACTGTAGTCTCAGCTAATCTAACTCTGAAGCTACCCTTTACCTTTGGACAACCCTTCGCTCTAAGAGGTGTTTGGCCACATTCTTCTCCTGTCTCAGAGAGGCCAAGGGAAGACCCAGCTCCCATGGAGGGTCCAGAACCCGAAGTGGCCTACCTTCCCCAGGAAGAATGCTTCACTCTCTCCCTAACCCCTAATCCGTGTCCTAAACCCCAAGGGAGCCCACACTCCCAGCTTCCTGCAAAGAGCCCTAAGACCTGCCTAAGATCACAGGCACCAAGATACCCGTGAGACGCCCTGGATCCGGTCAGAAGTCACAACTATCCTCATTTCCCACAGAAAACCCAGAACCCAGGGTAACTCTCCATCCCCATATAACTGGCCCAAACCCTGAGAATCCCTTCCTTATTCTCCATATTCCACAAAGCCCTCACTCCAAGAGAACTCAGGCCCCAGCTTTCTTAGAAAGAATTTTATTTTTTTTTAAGTTTTGATTTATTTATTTATTTTGAGTGAGAGAGAGAGAGAGAGAGAGAGAGAGAGAGAGAGAGAGAGAGAATATGAGAATATGAATCCCGAGCAGGCTCGGCACAGTCAGCGCAGAACTCAATGCGGGGCTCAAACTTCCCAACCGTGAGAACATGACTTGAGCCAAAACCCAGAGTCGGAGGCTTAACCGACTGCGCCACCCAGGCGCCCCCTTAGAAAGTTTTCATTTGGGGACCTGCGGCCGCCAGATTCACAAAAAAAAGCTGGTTCCCTCACAGAGCCCAGCATCCCTTCCTCGAGGGACCTCAACCCTCAGCAGCCCAACCCGCATATCCCTTGCATCCTTCTGTCTTCGGCCCCCCAATTCCCGAAGCCCCACAACCTCCGAGTCCTCGGGGAGCGTTGTGCTCACTTCCCCAGTTCTCCTGCTAAAGTGCCGGGGTCCATGGGGGTCCACTCAGCCCGAAACTCCCAAGGCTGCCAGCTCCCTTCAGGCGTCCTGGGCCCGGGCTTCCGAGATAACGGCGGAACAGAACGGCGCGGCCCTTCCTTACCCGACTGCGCGGCCATGGTTCCGGGGACGCGGAAATGGGGAGGAGGTGGTGGGGACTACAGCAACTCCTCTCAACTCTCGCAGCCGTCTCAGGCGCGGGAGGATCGCGGCCCCCCGGCGCAAGCTGGATGCACCGCCTACGGCGCCCGGGGAGGACCAAACCGCACCTGGCACGGGGGCCCGCCCGCCGACGCCCCGCCCCGCTGACGCCAGGCCACGCCCCCCGACTCGGGCTCTGTGGGGGCCCTGGTGCCTCCCAGAGAGAGCGACGCCTTTTGTTGAGTGCCTGAGCTGGTAAGGGTGATTGTCCGCGGCCGTGAGGTGGTTTGTCAGCATAGTCCCCGGGACTCCTGGGAGGTCTCAACAGGAGACCCTCAGCCCATTTTACAGATGGGGGCAGCTGAGGACCCGAGGAAAGAAGTTCTATTACCTCAAAATGGCTCAGCTCACTAGGAGCAGAGGTGAGATGGGAACCCAGGTCGCCTAACTCCCAGGCAAAAGCTCTTTCTAGTAGAGTGTTTAGGACCAAGAATATGAATATGGAGGGGCGCCTGTCTGGCTCAGTCATTAGAGCATTCCATTCTTGATCTTGGGGTTGTAAATTCGAGCTCCGTGTTGAGTGTAGAGATTGCTTAAAAATAAAAATCTTAAAAAAAAAAAAAAAGGAATATGAATATGGAGAAGCTACTCCACAAATAACTTTGGGGATTTAGAGTGGACTTTTCTTAGGCTTCCAGCTCAAAGAAGCCACTTATCTGCCCCACTGTGAGTAAGCTGGCACTTAGTAGATAATCTCTAGGTCAAAGATGGTGTGAAGGTGGTGCAACCAGCATTCTAGGGGCAGATTCTTATCGGGGCCAAACAGGTATATAAATAAATGCAGCACACCAGATCTTCCAAATTTTCAAGACAAGCCCAAACTCCAGGTATTTAGGTGAATTTTCCCACTTTTTAAAATGTTGGTAACAGTCAGAAATTCTAAAAATGCCACGTAGACTAAAGGGAACACACTTGTAGACTGGATTTGCTCTGCTGGCTGTTCTTTGTGGAGGAGAGAGCCCTGGACAAGGAGTCAGAACAGCAGGCTGGTTCCTGGCAGCTGCTAGCTGGCTGAGGGGCCTTGAGAACCACTTTCTTTCACTGGGTTTGGGAGGGAATTGGGGTCCTCTATGTGACAAAGGGTGGGCTGCATCAGCAGGACCCTGCAGTCCTTCCCATCTGATTCTCCTGTGATGCATGTTTGGCGACTGTCATTTCCTTAGACTGGATTTAGGTCATGGGAAAAGTGTTCAAATGACCAGGAAGAGGCAGGAATGGGGCCCAAGGAAATGGATCATGACACCCCCACTAAAGACAAAGTTCAGCTCTGCTGCTGTCTGGCTCCAGCACTCCAATAAGCAAAGGTGGGCACAATTCTCTTTTCTTCCTGACCTGTGTAATCCAAATAGGAAGCAGGTCAGATGTTTCTCCTCTGGGTGTGGCAGGTGGCTCCTGAAATCCTGAGTATAGAGAAAGTGCTGAGGGGGTGGGGGAGGGGATGTGCCTGACTTCCGGTAATTCCTGGGAACCCTCCAGCGGTTGGCTTTACAGTTTCTGAAGAATTTCTGGTCTGATTATAGCAACTACAGGATTGTGTGTTGAATTAAAGTGGCAGGGATCCAGGGGACTCTGACAAGCCACCTCATGGTAGGCAGAAAGGGAGCAGGGATTTTATTCAGCCTACACATGCAAAGAGGTAATGCTGTATTTTGCCAGGCACACAGGCACTGGAAGCTTTGGAACCAAGACCCCTGTTTGTCTTTCCTCTCCCTCAGCCCCACAGCAAGGCACCCAGGTCTGTCTTTTCTCCCTCCTTACCCTCTCTCTTTCCACTTCTTTCCCACCTCCAGCCTTATGGTGTTCACTAGCAGGGAGTAGGGGGATAACCAACTCCCCCAAGTTCCTTACAGGGAAGTTTAGGTAACTCTTGAGAAATGCAAATTGAAATGTAAAGAAAGAAAACAGCAATCTGTAGAAATGTATAACCAAAAGATATCTTTCCAGTATAGGCCCAAAGAATATTCCAAGATCACTTGTGAACTCCAGGGGGATTTCTGGAAGACAGAAAATCCTGGGTAGGGAGAAGATGTGAGTTTCTAGCACCCAAGTCACCCGTTCACACTTTGATTACCCCACCATAGTTTGGTCAGTCCCTAAGGCCAGATCCTGCTGACTGACAATCAACTCTTTGGACCTATAGAAATGAGAACCTGGACACTGAAAAACACCTGAAGGTTCTGACTCTGCCATCCTGAGGGAACGGGTCTACTGATTCCCAGCTATACCTTCCGATTGTCACTTACACTTTCATCAAATTGATCCTGTCTTTGGCCTCTAGTCTCTCCACTCCTAGAATCAGTCCCATCCAAGAGCAACTGATTAATCCTCCAGAATTATGTGTCTGTTCAAAAACCTTCAATAGCTCCCTGTTGCCAACAAAACAAAGGCTAAACCAGGCCCTCATGAGTGAACTACATCTCACTTTGCAGGCTTTTCTCCTACTCCCTTCACTCCAGAACTGTTTTTCCAGAATACATTCTGCCCTTGTACCACTCTACCATTTCCCTCCGTGTTCTTTGTAATTTTGTTGCCCCTTTCTACCTATTCTAGTTTCTAAATGCTTAACACATTATCTTCAATTATATCATTTTGCAAACCCTGTGAACTAATCTAAATCTGCACTGATACAATAGCCATTAGCACGTGGCTATGTAAGTTAAAATGAAATAGAACTTAAAATTAAGTTCCTCCGTCCACTAGCCACATTTCATGTGCTTGCTAGCCACATGTGCCTAGTGGTTACTGTGTTGGACAGTCCAGATAGAGAACATCTCCATCATGACAGAAAGTCCTGTTTTAGACAATGATCAGTAAAGACTGCTAACATCACAAAAAGGGACTGCCAGGCATCATGTGCCTCATGAAATGATGCAACAAGAGGTATATAGTACCATTTATGACATAGTCTTACTAAATACCCAAGCCTGAACCTGGTCAAGCTTCTGGATTTAACAATTTACAGGAAATACAAGAGTAAGAGGAGCTTATTAACACCACAGTGATGCAAAACTTCAGCAAAACTGAAGTTGTGGGAAACTTAATAGGATAAATGACAGATAAACTGCAGGGTGCCTGGGTGGTTCAGTTGGTTAAGTATCCGACTTTGGCTCAGGTCATGATCTCACAGTTCATGGGTTTCAGCCCTGTGTTGGGCTCTGTGTTGACAACTCAGAGCCTGGAGCCTGCTTCAGATTCTATGTCTCCCGCTCTCTCTGCTCCTCCCCCACTTGCACTATGTCTCGCTTTCAAAGATAAATAAACCTTAAATTAAAAAAAAACATGTAAACTGTAAAAGTAAGAAAAGAGGAACCTATGGATGTAATAAGAGACTTAGGAGACCTCCAATAGCAAGATATGGATCTGATTTGGATCTTAATGCAAGCAAACTGAACAAAAAAGTTGAGACAACTAGGAAAATTTGATCAATGATTGGATATATGATGACATTAAGGAATTATTGTTAATTTTTTCAGGTACATAAAATAGTATTTTGGTTGTTTTTGAAAATCCTTATCATTGAGATGCATATTTGAAATACTTCATAGATGGCATAGGACTAGGATTTGCTTCAAAATAGTCCAGGCAAGAGAAAGGGAGCAGTATGAGGGTGGGGACAAAACAGGATTGGACAGGAATTGATGGTTATTGGGGTTGGGTCATAGGTATGTAGAGGCTTTACTGTCCTAGTCTACTTCAGTGCATGTTTTGTTTTCCATCTCTTACTGGGCTTATGAGTTCTTGGAGATCACTGATCTTTGCATTTCCTACCATATCTTAGTGCTGTTCAACTTGATTAAAGCCTTAGGTCAAAGTGGAAGAGAGGGAGAAAAGAGACCTTTTCAGAGGGATGACCTTGTAGCTCTATTGTGTGTGGGGGGGTGGGGGGGATGGAGCCTGAGGTGAGGCCAGGTTTGTAACCTATCTTCCGTCTCATACTCTGCTACTGAGGAACCTTAGGGAGCTGTACATCCAATGCTCCAGGTAGAGGGCTTGGCCAGGGTCCCATCTGCCCTGTTGCAGAGCATGTGAATAACCTGTGATTGTCCTCAAGGTTCTGATTGTCCACAAGCTAAGCTCCATTGTGGTAGCCTTAAGCTTAGGAATTCCATACACTTGTCAGGAGTAGGGCTGTCAGGTTACATCTTGGGTAGGACTGTATATGCAGCCAGTCCTCTAGCCTGTGCTTCTCATCCCTAATTATCGATGGCTGCCTGAAGACTGCTCCTCATTGTGACAGTCCCATGTATGCAGAAGTGTTTCCCAGAGGCCAAATCAGTGTGATCACTCCCCAACCCATTCACGCTCCCCCCCCCAGTTACACAGACAAGTCCACAGCTCACAGTAATGTAAAACCATTTGTTTAATTCTAAATCAAATCACTTTCACAACAGTGAAAATTAGTGACTGGTCAAGATGTGCCACTTTACATGGTGTCATTTTCTGACTGTGGTCGGGACCTGGTCCTAATCCACAAAGGTGGCAGGGGCGGGGGGGTGGGGGGGGCGGGCTGGACGCCAACATAGAAAACACACAAAAGAAACGAAAACTGCCTTGGCAGAGGGGCAAGGTGGTGAGCCTGCAGAGGGGTGGTGGGAAGGGGGTTTCCTGTTGGGGCTGAGCCAGCAGTCCCAAGTTGGCTCTCCTGCCCCAGCTCCCAGTAGAGGGTGAGTGGGGGGCCTAGAAGGTTCAAAATCAAAGGGTACATGGCCAACCTGCCTTGGCTCACAGGTTCCTGGGATGCCTTTGCTGGTGGAGTTCTCCTGGGCTCACTCTACTTCATCAAAGAGTCCCAATAATTTGTCTTCCTACCCACAACCCTTTCTTTTTTAACTTTTCTTCTGGAAACCCATTTCTGTTGGGCCCATCTATCTGAAGTCCTCTCTCTCACCACTAGGTGGGGCTACTGCACTGAGCGATCTCACCAATTCACTTGTGCTAAGAGGTTGGGGTCCCTCTGACTTTTGGGATTTCCAGGAGGTGATAAAAAGAGCACTCTTGAGTGCGTGTCCCAAGAATGTTTAAAATCCATCAGGGACACTGTAAAGCTGGTAGCTTAGTCCTACCAAATGGATTCGGCAAATGAACCACCTTTTCAACACTTAACGTTTTGTCTGATTAAACACTGAACTCTGGCATTGACAGGTACAGAAGGGAAGGGGTGGGGGCTGTGGACAGGAGAGGAGGACTTCCCCTGTCTTCCTCAAGGTCTTGGTTTCCACATGCTATGCAGAGCCACAGCTGGAAAAAAGCACTAGGTGGGGCTTTCTACCACTTATTGGCTATGGCTAGGGGTGAGCCAGGAGCAATGTGGACTGGTAAAGTGACAGAGAGGCCCCCAGAGGAAGTCCATCTTCCACGACCCCTGGGATCTCCTGGAAGAGGCTGAGTTTCTAGGAAAAGGCCTGACCAGGAGAGTGAGAACCATTCCACAAGTGAACTGTCCTCCTGCCTGGAACCACTCCCTCAATCAGATTCTGAGGAAAAAGTTTGTGAACTAGAAAAACAAGTCAAGGGCTTGGGAAAATGATTCCCCTGGAAATTTCCTGGGGAAAACCACACCATGTCATCGTGCTGAGGCTCTCTAGGCCCTGCTGTCTGGCATTAAAAATCATCAAGGGTTGCCTGCTCCGTAGTTGCATGATTCCCTGGTTTTAGTACACATACAAGGAGTTTTCAGGGGTATCCACCAAGCCATACCCAAATCAGGGTCATATGCGGATCTCCCCACTCCTGCTTCTTCATAAAGGACAATTTGGCTTCTGGGGAAGATGGTCTTCAACATGCGCTGACTTGACAAAGCCCCCAGTTCCCGTTGGGTGGGTCTGAGAGGACGCACTTGGAGCTTTTGTAGGCTTGGGGAAAGGGCTGCTTGTTCAGTTCCTACATCAGAGCTCCAAATCCCATCAGAGTCCCAATGGCAGGTCTTTCCTGATGCGTAGTCCTGGCTTCAGCAGCAGTCTCGGCTGTGTGTCCTCTGGCAGAGAGGCGCAGATGCACGTATTTTTGGGGGGAGAGAGGATGGGAAATCTGTGAGTGAAACCACATGTCTCTGGGGATAATACACACCAGGAAACCAGGAGGTCATTCAAGCCACTCTCCGCAGCCAGAGACTGAGCATGGCCTAGAGCCAATAAAAGATCTTTGGCTCTCTGGTGAATTCATGAAGTGACTCCAGCTTTAGATGCTGCAATTATGATCTTTAGAGGACAGCAATTTCTTGCATTTCTGCTAAGGAGGAGGAAGAAATAGAACACAGCAGCACTGGGATCTGGAGCCTCACTATATGGGGAGTCCCACTGATTTTGGAAGCCACTTACCAAGGGGTATTTAAAGAGATGAAAGAAAGTTTCTATTTGGTTCATCCCTTTGTTTTTGTAATATTAAATTCAGGTGAAATTGTACTGACAATTTCTCTTTTCCTGCCTCTTCCCTGTGCAGAGTCAGGACCTGCTAAGCTGGTTGGAACAGGACTTCATGGTGTTAACTCATGAGAGACGACTCAATGCCAAAGACTGAGGTTACAGCAGGGTGTTTACAGCAGTGGCCATACTCCAGAGTCCTTGACAACAGGTCTTGAGTCCCAAAGCTCTGATGGAGAAGCAAAACTCCTTGATGTGTTACTGACCCCACCGATTCCAGGGGTCAGGATTAGCCAGGGAGCCAAACATCGAGAGTGGGTGTGGCATGTCACCAGTCCAGAGGCCCTGCCGTGGATATAGGCTGGGACCCAGCATTAGGCAATCAACAGCCAGAACATGATCACCAGGGCCACAAACAGGAAGAGGCGTGATAGGAACTGCTCATCCACATACTGGGGTGTTCCAGGGACAGCTGGAGAGAAAGGAGGGAGAAGAGAGGCTGTCAGAACACTGCAGCTGTGAGCACTGCCTGTCTGGGCCAGAATTGAGAACATCAATCTTCATCTCTTTAGAACAGAACTCTGCACACTAAAAAGATTTCCAAACCCCAAATAACAGCGGGCAAAACAAAACTTGAATTATGAAGATATGTGGAATAATATAACAATGAGGACAAGGTCTCCAATTTATCCTAAGAGAGTCTGGTCTGCAGATGTACATAAAACAGGAAGCTCTTAGAGGAAACAATAAAAGAAAAGCTGCTGTTAAGCCTCTTCTGTGTGCTAAGTGTTTTGTACACACACCTTGCTGGGTATTATTATTCCCATTTTGTGTAAGTAGAAACTGAAGCACAGGTATGAGGTGACCTGCCCAAGATCACAAAGTTCACAAGTTAGTGGCAGAGCCCCAGTCATGCTCTCAGCCTCTCTGCATGCTGCCTTGAGTCACAGAGTCTCTAGATTCTGGCACTGTTGAGCATGGAGGGGTCTTAGCCCCACACAGAGTGCCTTCCTTTTCTAGAGGATAGAACTAGGGCCCAGACAAGGCAAAATGGCTTGTCTCTTCCATCACACAGCAAACTAGGGACAGAACTGGGCCTCCACTCCTCCCTGCTTTGAGAAAAGCTATGTAGGGCTCCCTGTCCAGACTTTGGGGGAATGAGTGTATGAAAACCAATCCAGGATGGGCAAACATATCAAACATGATAAAGGAAAACTGTGATTGTAGCATGGGGATAAAGTGATCTCTGGATCAGTCTAGTCTGGCTATAGAGCTCTCTTTAACTGAGAAACCCAGGTTGAGCCCTGGACCAGGAAGGGAAGGAAGCTGCCAAGCAGGTTCTTACTGCCTCTACAGGGCCCTGTCCCTCCTTCAGGGAAGGGTACACCCTGCCCTGTGGGGTCTCCTTCCTTTGAGAAAATATGTAAATGAAGGAGAAACCTTTGAGGTGAAGGAGGTACAAAGGGCATTTCAAGATTTCTTGATGCTATACTATTCCCCAGGTAGGTGCTCTGATGATTCATGCAGGCAGGCAGTCAACAAAGACTTACTGATTGCCTGCTATATGCCAAGCATCAGGGTAAAGGCCAAAGAAAACTGAGATGACCCAGGAGTAGGTTTCTGTCCCTAAGAGCATAAGCTTCTGGCCAGGAACCACACACTGGTTCCTTCTGCAAATACACTGAGTCCATCACAAATGAGGCTCCAATAAGTACAAGCAGAATTCAACCAACTTCAGCACCTCTGCAGATTCCATGGTAAGGATCTTGGCTCTGGTGTCAGATTGGGATAAAGTACAGGGTACCCACCTTGCCGCCTAGTTCTACATGGAATGCAGCTGGTACCTTTAAGCTGGCTGGAAAGAGAAAGGTAGTGGCAGGTAACAGACCTAGAAAGAGTTATCAAGGGGATGGGACTTGGGACCAGCCCCGTGTGTATCCTGAGGGAAGCTGGACAGAGATGCCAGAGAATAGAGAGGCTCTGAATCCTGGTGGGTTGCCTCACTCTTCCCTGCCCCCAAATGGTGAAAGTGGGGGATACGTGAACAGGATGAGGCTTTTCTTCAGCTAGGTATACTAGGCATTATTTTATTCTTTTTCAATTTATAGGCACATAGTATGTCTTGGGAAACATACTGAGCATTTTCTGATTTGTGAAACGGAGCTAGCTAACTGCACACCCATCCCACAGGTGTACACAGGCTTGTGGTGAGGATCCCCTGGGTTTGTGATGGCAAATATTTTGAACATGCCTAATATTTGACAGGTGTGCAATATCATTATGACTACCAGTAATCTGGAAAGAGTTCACATTTTGAAAAGCCTAAACTTCCAAGCAGTGACAATTATCTGTAATCTTCATACTAATGAATTCCAAGGAGCCTCCAAGCAGGATTACCAAGGAGATAGGGTCTTACCTGGAGGAGGCCGCCCATCATTTATATTAAATGCTGTGGCAAATATCCCAAAGGGAAATGCCCCAATTCCAAAAGACATCTGGAAGCCACCATCTCCAAATCCAAATCCTTGAAATCCCTGTGTGGAAGAAGTGCAATTCAGAAGAACAAATACATTTCTCCTGCACCTGTCAAACATGTCACCTGCAGGTGGCACCTGCCTTTCCTCCCTATCCTCTGCCACATGTTTCCAAAGGGGGAGGGACATCTTTTCCTCCCATCTAGACCCCAAGGCAGAGGAACCCTGAGGTTCCCCTAAGGAACCCTGGTCCCGTTAGCCTTCAAGGAGTCCCAGCCAAGGAGTTGTGAATGCCAGAAAGGCCTGGTCCTGGTCCAAAGTAAAACAGTCTGCTGATGCAAGTCAGGGTTCTTAGAGCGCCAGTTTTTTCCCCAGAATCCCACACTAGTCAGTAAAATTTTCTACATGCTTTATAATAGCAAAATTGGCAACAATCCGTACACACACATTATTGGTAATAGCAAAAAAGTGGAACCCTAATTAACAGACAATGGAGGTCATGATCAAAATCTTGATACATGCTCTCTAAAGACCATTATGTTGATAGTGCAGCAACACAGAGAAGCTCTTGTGACCAAGTTATCAAACAAAACTGAACACTATGGTCACAAGTACATGACAACATGTAGGTATGTGAACAAGATACAGGTAAGTATTTTCCCTCAAAATTTTCTTTTAATATTTTTACAAAGAATTTTAAAAAATGTAAAATACTTTTTCTGATTACAAAAGTATATATGCTTGTTATAAGAAACTTATACATTAGAAGAATAGTGGACATAGAAAGTCAGAGGTCTCTTCATTCACCATTTCAAGGCCATGCTCTCTCCAATAAACACTGTTACCAGTTTGGTGTATTATCCTCAGCTTTCCCCCCATAACATGTTCTACACTACATCGTCTTTCATATGAAAAGACTCAGTAAAGGGGCACCTAGGTGGCTCAGTCGGTTAAGCATAGGACTTTGGCTCAGGTCATGATCTCATGGCTTGTGAGTTCAAGCCCTACGTCAGGCTCTGTGCTGACAGCTCAGAGCCTGGAGCTTGCTTCGGATTCTGTGTCTTCCTCCCTCTCCCCCTCCTTTGCTTGTGGTCTGTCTCTCTCTCTCTCTCAAAAATAAATAAACCTTAAAAAAAAAAAAATAAGATTCAGTAAGAATTACAACACTGTGAATAAGCAACCCATTTTTTACCTTGACCAAGGTTGCACAGCTTGTAAAAGGGGTAGAGTTTAGACTGGAAACTAGGTCAATATGATCTGAAAACCCATGCTCTTAATTATTGTGCACATCTTACATAAATTTTCTCTCCTCCCCCACATCCCTGGGTAGATCCTTAGAACAAATGATTAAAAAATAATAAGAAAATTTACTGGGTCAACTGCTCTCCACAAAGAGCTCACTGGCCTTCATTTGTGAGTCTTTTGCAAGTTATGAAAGTGGCTGTTCCTTATCCCATACCGAGCAGCCTGGCATCCAGCTCCAAACTTCTTGCTGGGTGGCACTACCTATAAAACCTAACAGCAGATAAACTAAGAGAACAAATCTACAGAGAAGAAAAACAACCAGTTTTCCATCTCCTCAGTATAGAAATGCCTCCTATTCAGACCCAGCATGGTTGAGTCTGAGGGCTCCTGGGACCGAGGCTGCCTTACCCAGAAAAGTGCAACTGTTTAATCAGGAACTACCACTCCATTGAGTGCAATCTCGAGGACTGACCTTCTGGCCTCCCTTTTAGCAACATCTATACAATCCCCTAAGTCCTTACATTTGGTGGGTATATGTTCTTGGGGCAAAGTAGACAAAAAGCATCACTGGTGGCTGTGGGTGCTTGTATATGCTGGAGGTGTGCACCACAGTAATTAAGGCCAGGGCCTCTGGCTTCCTGAGGTTAGGAGCCAAAGTTCTGCTGAGAAACAGAGCCTGGAAAGGTTAAGGTGATATTACATGGTAGTCAAGGGGTAGCGCTAGGTCAGTATGTCCAACAACCTATGATCCTAATTCTTTTGGAGAAATGAAAAACTCTTGTGAGGACCAAATTATCAGACAAAACTGAACACTATGGTCACAAGTATGCTCAGGACAATATGCTGGTAGGTGGACAAGATATAGATAAGTATTTTCCCTCAAAATTTTTCTTTGAATATTTTAATTTAGAGAAATAAAAATATACTTTTTTGGGGTTCTGGTAGTATGGATAAGTATTTTGCTTTTAAAATTTCTTTAGGGGTGCCTGGGTGGCTCAGTCCGTTAAGCATCCGACTTCAGGCTCAGGTCATGATCCCACCGTTCAGGAGTTCGGCCCCCGGGTCAGGCTCTGTGCTGACACTCAGAGCCTGGAACCTGCTTCGGATTCTGTGTATCCCTCTCTTTCTGCCCCTCCTCAGCTGCACTCTCTCTCTCTCAAAAATAAACATTTTTTAAAAATTAAAAAAAATAACATTTAATATTTTAACTGAAAATTTTAACACTAACATCAGATTTAAATGAGCAAATTTTTTGAGCTAGTGATTCTTCTATGAATTTGTCCTGGTAAAATAACCACAAACCTGCTAAAAAATGTATCTATAAGTTCATCAGAGTATTTTTAAAATAAAAAAAAGAAATGTTCAACAAAGGATCAAATAATGTTAAGTTCATACAACTAAATACTAAACAGCCTTTAAATAAAATATTACTGACATGTAAAATCTCAAGATACATCGTTAAAAGTCTCCCCCTCTGATATAAACTCCGTAAGTTTATCTCTGCTATGTTCACTGATCTATCACCAATGCCTAGAATAATGCCCAGCATAGAGAAGGCACTCAGAATGAATGAAATTTTAAAAAGAGTTACAGGAGCAAAATACTGTAAAAAAATAATAAAATATATGTATACATAATATATCTATAAATACATGCACATAAAGAGATATACAAAATTTATAGAATAGAAAATAGACCAAAATATTTCCAGCAGTTTTTTCTGGATGGTGTGATTTTAAGTGATTTTTTTCTTCTCTTTCTCCTTTATGTATTTTACAATTTTTCCTTTACTTTTATAATCAAGGAGAAAAAGTGTAGGGCCAAGATGGAAACTTCTAAAGCCATGAACTCATTTCTAGAGGCTTCTCCTAGAATGTTCCTCACCCCTCTGTTCTCTGGCTCTGGCCTCTGTCCTTGAGGACGAGGAGGGGTCTTCTCTCTGAAACAGAAACATTGTAAAATAAATATTATAAAATGTTTACAGCTGTTCCTTGAGTGGAGTGGGAGCTCTTCACCAACAGGGTAAGGTCCACTGTGCCTAGCATACGAACTTATGCCAAATTAAACCAAATCCTAACCTTCGTTCTACTTGCAATGGTTTTTTCAACCGTATAGAAAGCCAGGGAGAAAATTCACGTATAAGAGGTTCACCATATTGCACTATAGCCTACTCCTCTCACAGAGAGCCTGGCTCAGACTGGTTATGAACGCTAGCCAGACACCCTCTCTGAACCTGTGTAGGGTTCAGAGGATAGGGGTCATGGATACTAAAAATCCCAAATCCAAACCAAAACAGAGCTGAGATTCAGGGTCTCTCTGATCTAGCCCTGTTAACTTCATCTTTACCTCCCATTATTCCTTGGTAAGTACTCTGCACTATGCTTTTTGCTTCTGGGTTTAGTCCCTACCATCATTCATCCCCAAAATACTAGACTAAGGGTTTGCTACCCATTAGGCACTAGGCAGGATATGACCAATACTAAGCCTGTGACAAACCCTACTCTTAAGGTGCTTATGGTTTAAATGGGGGTACACCGATCACAATACAGCATGAGAAGGGACTTCTTGAATAGAGGTATCAACTACCTAGGGTGGAAGCATGGATGAGAGCAACTAATGTGGGGAAGAAGGGTCACTTCAAGGAGGGGGTAACTTCAGGCCTGCTCATTAAAGACAGATAGAAATTACTTGAGGAGGAGGGTGTTGAGCTGGCCCAGGGAGGGCAGAAGAGGCAAAGGGAAAACAAATACAAAGGCTCATGAATGTGAAAGGGTAAGTTCCTTTAAGAGAGGTCCAGTATGTCCAGGTACAGGGTATGCTGGGGTGAGGTGGGTTAAGAGAAGGTAAGAGATACCGCTGGGGAGCTTCGGGGTGTGTGAGTGCATACATGTGTGTGTATGCATGCACCAGACTGAGACCAGCTCTCAGAACTTGTGTCTGTAGGAAGATCCACACATACTTCAAACTCTGCAAAGCTTTCCAGACCTCCTGTCTCCTCCTCCCTCTATACTTTATGTATCACTATTGCAGCAACCCCCTCCTTGCAAACTCTCCTGCTGGACACCCTGCTTCCAAAGCTGCTATTTCACAGCACTCTGCACACTTACAATTGTAATACCTTGTGTGCTGCCTAGCACACTGCCTGCCCACTGGCAGATGCTCAGTGTATTACAGTCCAGTGAGTGGCAACTTGGGCTTCCTCCCTTCCTGACAGACTGCCATCTGGATCCTAAGTGCCTCAAAACTGAGGGTAAGTACTTAATAAAGGGTGGGGTGGGGGCGCCTGGGTGGCGCAGTCGGTTAAGCGTCCGACTTCAGCCAGGTCACGATCTCGCGGTCCGTGAGTTCGAGCCCCGCGTCAGGCTCTGGGCTGATGGCTCAGAGCCTGGAGCCTGTTTCCGATTCTTCGTCTCCCTCTCTCTCTGCCCCTCCCCCGTTCATGCTCTGTCTCTCTCTGTCCCAAAAATAAATAAACGTTGAAAAAAAAAAAAAAAAAAAAAAAAGGGTGGGGCGAGAAGGTGCTGAATGGAAGAGAATTCCTGTCCAAAGTAAGGAGTGGGTGTCAGAGGCCTCACCTGGGGTCCTGCTGCCCAGTGCTGCCCCTGCCATAGAGGGGGATGACCTTATCTCGGCTGATGCCAGCTTTGCAAACTGGACACACCTGTCTGTTAGGTCTGGTCTCCAACCACTGCAATCAGGAAAGAAAAATGCATGAATGGCGCAAGAAGCCCACCTCAGAGCAGTCAGGGTCAGAACAATATGGACCAGAGGCCTCAAACTGGAAACACCAGCACCAGCAGGGAACACTTCAAGGAGCCCAACTCCTGATTCCTACTCCTGGCACTCAATAAATATCTACCAGTGGTGAAATCAAAATTGCTTTTAAACACCATCATAAATTAAACAGGCTTCCTCATGCATCATGATCTCTAGTGGCTCCCAGCAATATAGCAGGAAGGAACTGCAAGCCTGGAGCTGTGTCAAGGAGTCTGACTGACCCAGCTGGTATAACGAGCTTTAAAATCTCTGCATTCCTCAGTAGACCAACTGTAAAAAATAAATTTTTCTCTCTGTGATTTCTCATTTTTACAGCATTTCCTCAACAACTTTGTATCCCAGGCATCAACATCTGAACATAACTTGGCCATTTTCTGGTGATTTACTATGTGCTAAAAGACAGACTTTGCTTATTATCTAAATTTGTTGTTTTTTAATGTACTTTCATTGATTTTTGCACTCAACTACTTCTTTCAATACTAAAAACACTAGAATTCTATTTTGGGTTTCCCAGGCTCTTTCACTAGTTGTAAAGCATTTTGCTTAACCTTCTCTAAAACAAATAAAAATGATAAGAACATATTATCTGTAGTGTCTTCGTAGACATTAAATAATTTAATACATATATATTTTCTCAGAATTTATCTTAGAACATAAATTGTATCTTTAGATCCAATGATATAAAGTTTATTATATAAATGTGAATCTAAGATTTTGGGGCCAAGGAGAAAGCATTTAGTGATTTTATATCCCACTTCCTTTATCTTACTGTTGAAAGCTTCAAAACTTATGTGTTATGTGCTCTTTATAAATTTACAGAAGACATGTTCTACCAGGTTCCTCTGGAGTCAGAATGCACAGCTCCGAACATAGTGGGAATCCCTCTCTTGTTTCTCCCGCTCCTTCCTCCTACCTGAATTCTGAGGCTCTAGAGGTCTGGAACTTCTGTCCTCCCCCAATGTTCCCAAGCCACCTACTACTATGGGGTTCTGCCAACAACCATGGGGACAGTCAGCACACAGTAATCATCCACAGCCAGTTGTAAATGCCAGGCCCTGCTCTGCCTCACCAAGCATGTGGCTGGGTCTTGGTGAATACTTACTAACTGGTTTTCATAATCATCTGAAGCTAGGAAAACAGATTTTCTCCCCTCTCACAAAAGCTCTCTGTTGAGACCAAAAAAATTTCCCTCTTTTTAACATTTTCATAGTTGATATGTAGGAAATACTTTTTGTAGAGGCCAAATCTCAAAAATAAACACCTAACATACTATCAAATCCAACCCAATCTACAGATGGAAAATTGTGAATCAGAGAGGTGGTGGCCTGCCAAGGCCACAAAGGCCATCAGTACAGTCAGAACCATCCCAGGTACTCCACTGACCCCTTCATCGGTAGGCAGATGTATAAAGAGGGTTGGGGGTAAAGCAAGCAAATGAACCCACAAACAGGGGAGATTGCACCTTCTAACGGTAGTCTCCTGAGACTAGGGGTGTCTTGTGCAACCATAGCTGATGAAAGACAAAGTAAAATGAAATGCATCTTACCTGATGTAAACATGGCCAACTGCCAGAGTCCCCAGGGCACCAGTCATCAAGGAGAAAGAGAATGGGGGTAAAGAGAGAAAAATGCTTTCATTAGCAGAGACACTGAGGGTGGGAGGAGTTTAAAACTGGGACACAAGGTGGAACTGTGGAGTACTGCAATCCCACCGAGTGTCTGTGGGGAATCACTAGTATCAGAAATTAGAAAAGATTGGGCTAAAATCACAGGAAAAATGAGGCAATACAGACAAGACCCCAGTCTCTACCCTTGGGATCCTACTTGTGAAGGACCTCCAGGTCCCAGACCATCCCAGACTCAGCTTCTCTACAAGTCAACCTTTGAGAGGTTGTGGAATCTGAAGGAATCCAATAAAAGCTAAAGACCCTTTGTACAGAAAAAAATTCATGGAGGCATTCTCATATATACATGCATACCTAAGTCTCACAATGTGTGACTCTAAATCTGGTTTAACAAAATCCTCAGGCTGTCCTCAACCCTGAGTGCTCTGCTGGCAGGAGGTAGCTTATAAATTCAAATCTACTATAAAAACATCTTTAAGTAATAAAAAGCATGGGGATGCTGCTTGGCAGAAAGGGCTACCTTCAGCTTATATGAGCTGCACTACAATGAATTGCTGCCCAGTCTCTCATTTTTCAAATGAGGAAACCAAACTCAGAAACATGAAATGACTTACCTACGGCACCAGGACTAAAAAGTAAGCCTCCTGACTATTCTATCACCCAGCACTAGATGCAAAACAAGACATTTACAGAATTGAAGGAAAAGTTTCTCTAACTCCAGATTTTTCACTTTTTCTCTCTTGATTCATTCATCCAACTAACAAATATCCACTGCACACCTATGAGCCAGGAGAGTGGAAAATGTGGACATGGTTTCTGTCCCTCATAAAACATGACTCCTCTAGCCGAGTAAAATTTGGACTCAGAGGATAATTCCTTTCCCAGTTCCTGAACCAGTTTAGCCTCACAATCCAGATATGCAATCTCACTGGATATAACAGACACATCTGACATCTGACTCCCACATTAACCTTGCAGTACCATTCCAAACTGAGCCTAAGGCACCTCAAATCATGGCAGATCTCCCCTAGCAACTTCCCTTAAAGGCTGTGGGGGAGAAGTGAAAGTAACTTTCCTTTAGGGGAAAGTTCAGAATTATAACAAAGATGGTGATCACTTCCATTTATTAAGCAACTATTGTGTGCCAGGCTGTGGCTGACAAGCTTTTCATTTATTAATATTACTGGAGGGTCATATTAACCTATGACAAAGTATAATTATCTCTTCATTGCACAGATGAGAAAACTGAAGTACAGAGAGGCTGGTAGATTTGCTCAGGGACAAACCACTCTAATTGGAAGCATCTGTTTCATTTTAGAGTCTGTGTTCTTTCCAATGGTACCTTCATTTAGTTCTTAATTATGACACTCATTTCAAGTCCTGGTTATATGATTCCCCAGAGAATATCCAATTTCTAGGAGACAATAGTTTCTGCATAAAACTTAATGATTAGGGCAAGAGCTACCAGAACAAAATCTGCCCCATTCTATTTATTCACCAATAAATTTATCTTTGTCACTGCTGCCAACTTAAACTCCCTTAAATACTGCTTAAACGTCCCTTTCTTCACACCACTTCCCTGCTCAAAAATATCCCACAGCTTTATGTCCTCAATCAAATCTGGGTTTGATAATCTGGCCCAACCCTCCCTTAACCACTCTTGTTTCCTAACACTTCTCAGCCTCCCATCCAGGGTGCTATTTGAGGTATACAGCAGCCTCGGGGTCTCAAGGTCTCATATCTAAGAGTGCATATGTCCATCCCTAGAAAATGCCTGCATTGGAGGGCACATATTCTTTGCCTTATCTGTCATTCTTACCCCTCCAGTTACTCCAATTCACTCTTCCAGGTCAAGTTCAAAATCAAGAGAGAAGAATAAAATCTCAATATTTACCCAGAATCTCAGAGCCAGGAGGGGCTTCTATAACGATGGAGGCCAGAATGAAACTAACCCTGCCACTTCATTTTGATACATGTAAAATATAGCAACAATTATTAGGATCATCTATTAGGATCAACACTAATACATAGTATTTACTGTGTGCCTCATGTTCTTCTAAGCTTTTTATGTATTTAGAGTCATTTGATGCTCACAAACAACCCTGTAAAATGAGACAGAGCGTGTGTAAGCATCTTGCCCAAGGTCATCCAGTAGGAAAGTAGCAGAGTCAGGATTCAGAACAAGGAAGTCTGGTTCTACTGTCCTTGCTCATAACCACTGTACATACTGCTTCTTTGCTCAGCACAGCAAGTGGCACATAGTAACTCCTCACTAACTGGTGAGTGTTTTCATTTCAGAGGTGGGGGTACAGAGTCCAGAGTTGGGACATGATTTGCCCAAGGCCACTCAACTCATCAGCAACAGAACTGGCATAAGAACCCAGGCCTCCTGCTTCTTGGGCCTGATTGTAGCAGGAGATCCAAAGTGGGTGTGAAACCCTTGTTCCAAAGCTGCCCAGTGTGTCTTCTGGGGTGGTGACAGGGATACTGACCAGAAGAGGTGGCCACACAGGCTGATGACGGCGTCCTTGGCTGTGTCCAGGCAGATGTTGCACTCGAAGGTGCTGTCCTGCCCTGCACTCTCACCAGCACCATTGCTGCTACCACTGGGCCCCCCTGCACTGGAGTTCTCAGGAGATGCAGAGGCCGAGGGCCCCTTGCTTGCCATCTTTGGCTGTCAGAAACGGAGTGAAGATTCTCCCCAGGAAAATCCTGAAAGACAGAGAGTCCTTGATTGCCCATTTCTACAGCCCACTCTCCCTAGATTCCATAGCAATACCTCCACTGTTTCTCAGTTCTGAAGTTCAGATTATGACTGGACCCCTAAACAGACTGCAGAGGCTACAGAGGATGACACTCATGGGGCACCACCCAGAGAACAATGACTCAGATACTTTCATGAACATGGACTAGAATGTACCACACAAATACACTGCACAAATACACAGCATCCTCCTTCCAGATGGTTCTCCAGAGGAACTGACAACCTTTCACACATGACCCTACATTCTCCCAGGATAACCAATCCAGGTAACAAACATGTGCTCGATAAAACTGAATGTGCACAGGCTGTCCTTTAACTTTAGACTGCAACTATATTGGTGGGTGAATCGGGTTAGGCCAGAAAAGTTGTGACTGGTATATGCCAGAATATAAGTGTTAACTGTGAAAGGTTAGGAAGCTAAGAAGAACCAGAAAGGCCATTCAGCCCAATGTCTTTGAAAATCTTTTGCATTCTGCCTTCTATCGGGTTAAAATACTATCTACTTTGGGGTGCCTGGGTGGCTCAGTCGGTTAAGCGTCCGACTTGGGCTCAGGTCATGATCTCGTGGTTTGTGGGTTCGAGCCCTGTGTTGGGCTCTGTGCTGACAGCTCAGAGCCTGGAGCCTGCTTCAGATTCTGTGTCTCCTCCTTTCTCTGCCCCTCCCATGCTCATGCTGTCTTTCTCTGTCCAAATAAACGTTTAAAAAGAATTTTTTAAAAATACTATCTACTTTATTTGGTCTAAATCTATCAACTCTTTAGACTCAATACATTAAAAAAAATTTTTTAATGTTTATTTATTTTTGAGACAGAGAGAGACAGAGCATGAATGGGAGGGTCAGAGAGAGAGGGAGACACAGAATCTGAAACAGGCTCCGGGCTCCAAGCTGTCAGCACAGAGCCCGATGCGGGGCTCGAACCCATGGACCGCGAGATCATGACCTGGGCTGAAGTCGGACGCTCAACTGACTGAGCCACCCAGGCGCCCCTAGACTCAATACATTTAAAGAAGAGATTTATGTCACTGCTGTACATGGAAAACCAGTATTAGTTACCATAAGTGAAAGATAACTACAAACATAATGATAGAAAAGCTGTTTATCCACATACTGAGATCATCTGGCACATACAATGTGTTGGGCAAACTTGATCTGGTCCAATCTCTTTAGGAAACTGCACCCCAAGACCTGTCCTCTAACTGATGAATATGGAGCTAAGACCGGGACTCATGACACCCAGTCTGTATTCAAACCATTGTACCACCATAGATTAAGCTGGCCAACAAATGCTAGGAGAAAGACACTATTGTTCAACACTGCCTCCAAATAAAAGAACCTGCCAGAAGCTGAACACAAAGAAGGACAAAACCAACACCAACCATACCCAGAAATTCTGGGTATAGATTAAGAATCTGTCAAGAGCCTGGTCCAGCCACCCTCACCACCCTAGAAATTCTAAGTAGGAGATGCTGGCTGGTAATCATAGCCAGAAAACCAGCAGCTTGGATGCTGACTTCAGTTGAGCCTCCAGCTTGCTAGGTGTTTTGGGAACCTCCCTTCTCCTCTGTGGCCAGTTTTTTCATCTGTAAACTGAGGCACTGGACTACATTGTCTCCTAGTTGTTTCCTTCCAGCTCTAAGACTGCCATCCCAGGTCATCTCATCCACTCTCTCCAAAGCAGGCAGCCCCACCACAAGTCTGGGACTCACCACCGGAGTACCAGAAGACTGTTCTGATTCCAGCTTCCAAAGTTCAAAGAGATGTAAACACCAAAAAGCCAGTCTTCTCAGACCAAGAAGCCTTCCTACACACCACCAACTTAGAACTCTAGACTCACAAGCACCCTCCTCACGATAGCAGCTCAGTGACTTGAGCAGGGAGAGGAAACCAGCTCACCACCACTTTTTCACATAGTTACATCATTTTACATAATGTCCCAGAAGGGCAGCTGGCTGCTGGCAGCACCAATGCCTCACTGGCCTCAGCTCCAAGTCCTTCCCCCTGACCCAGTGCTTCTTTCTCTCCATATACAAGTGTTCTCTCCTTCTTAGGATGGAGCGTGCTTCTGAGGGCCATGTTATGGCCTTCACATGTCGTTCCAGCTCAAGTACCTGACAGGTGTGAGTTTCTTTAAAATATATTTACCTTTTAAAATTAAGAACTGTGTATACAGAAGTAGAAAGACAATCATAAAGTCAGGTTCACTGATCAATCTTAATGATAGTCTCCTGCTGTGATGCAATAGGAAGTACGTATCACCAACAACGAAGCACTCTTAATACATAGACTCTAATCATATCTCTAAAATAAATTACCCACTTACAGAAAATTTGGGGCATAGATGCATGTGTTTAACAACTCCAGGAGGATGCAATCAGCAAATCCAGAATGTGGGACCTTTCATAGGGCAAATAATCCAAGTTCTCCAAAAAATAAATAGCATAAGTGGGGCGTGGAATTCTAGATTGAAACTTGAGACATATCTGCCACTGGAACTGTGTGGATCTCACTGGAACCAGGTTCAAACAAACCAACTGTAAAAAGACATTTGTGAGATGACTGTGAAAAATTAGATTTAGGCTGGATATTAGTGGTATTAAGGAATTATTATTAATTTTATTGAGTATGATAATGGTATTGCATAATTTAGAAAATATTCATCTGCTAGAAATCCACACTTAAGTATTTATGATGGAATGATATTTGGGATTGGCTTTAAAATACTCCAGGAGGAGAAGTGAAAATGGAGAGAAAAGATGAACAGGGAAGGTGATGGTTGTTGGAGCTGGATGATGAATGGCGATTTATTCCATTAGCTTATTTTTGTGTCCTTATAAACTTCCATAATAAAAGGTATTTTTAGAAACATGTTAGATTGCAAAAGAGTATGTGCCTGAACTTATTTGGGTAAAAACAAAATACATAAATGAATACACACACACATACACACAAATAAATATATGCAAAGAAAATGCCTAAAAGGCACAAACTAAACTATTGACAATTATTTCTCGGATCAGGGGCTGGGGAACTTTCGAGTTTCATATTCTTATTCTGATTTAATGTTTTATGACAAACAGGTATTACCTTTATAGTAACATTTAAAAAATTGGGGTTGCCTGGGTGGGTCAGTTGGTTAAATGTCTGACCACGGTTCATGGGTTCAAGCCCCATGTTGGGCTCTGTGCTGATAGCTCAGAGCCTGGAGCCTGCTTCAGATTGTCTCCCTCTCTCTCTCTCTGCCTCTCCCCCTGCTTCAAAAATAAACATTAAAAAAAAATTTTTTTAAAGAAATTGTAAAATGTATGTGTAATATTACATTTGTTACAATAATGATATTATTATAAAATGTCTTTTAAAGTGTGGAAAAACATACCAAACTGTTAATAGTGACTATCTGCATTGGTGGGAGCTTAGAGGTAGTGATTTATACTTTCTAAGTCCCCCACATTTACAAAACTGACATTTTTACATGTATTAATTTTGAAATGAGACAAAAGACCAACAGTACATTAAAAAAAAAAAAAAAAAAAA